CTGGGTTCGAGTGCTGATCTCCGGCAATGCTTTGGTAACCTGTTTCTTCATCCGCTAAATGGGGACCGTAACGGATGTGCGTTTTAATGTGCTAATTTGTAGTTAAGAGCTTCGAGGGCCGGGCGTGGCGGCGCACGCTTGTAATCCCAGCGCTCTGGGAGGCTGAGGCAGGAGGATCGCAAGTTCAAATCCAGCCTAGGCAATTTAGCAAGACCTTGTCTGAAAAATGAAAATTTAAAAAGGGTGAGGGGTGTAACTCACTGCGAAGGCCCTGGCTCAATCTCTAGTGCCAATAAAATAAAATAAAATAAAAGCACGCATACTCGAATACCCGCTGCTCCAGAAGCATCTCCCTGGCTGGTGGTATCCGACAGGGTTCAGCAGCCAGAGCCCGCTCTCCGGGAGGCCTGAGCACCCCCGGTTGCAGGGACCTTGGGGCGTTGTCTTTAGCGGCTGTCCCTCCTCTGTGCGGCCCGGAATCCACCGTTTTTGAATGTGGAGAGGATGGAGAAAGAGGGAGCTCACAAAGATCACGCCTGTCATCTGGTGCTCGGGAGGCTGAGGCAGGAGGATCGGCGCGACTTCGAGGCCAAACTGGGCTACATAGTGAGTTCAAGACCAGCCTGGACTCTGTAAGGATACCTTGTTTCAAATCAACCTCTCTCTCCTCCCGCATCAATTTTTAAAAAGAACAGCCCGAAGGGGAGACGGCAGGGCACCCCGGGGGCTTGGTGAATGGGGTGGCGCAAAGGGTAGCGCCCAGGAAGAGGACGCGGCGGGACCTCAGCAGGTGCTCAGTGGCGACGCGCGCCCGGGGTCCCGCAGGTCCTCGTCCCCGTCCCCAGGCGAGGGGGTGCGCGGCCAGTTCTTCCCGGCTGGGCTTTGCGCCCGCGGCGGGAGCTCTCCCCAGCCGGCTCCCTTGCTCTTCAATTGCCGCTGGCAGAAGTTACCTCCGAAGTCCTTTCCACCCCGCAGGAGGGCGATTTCCTTTTCCTGCCGCGAGGTAAGAGAAGCCCTCAGTCTAAAGTCCCCGGAGGAGACTGCTTTTTTGTGGGAAGGAGGGTGGACCCATCCGGCCCAGGCCCTCGCCGAAGACAGGCGAACCCTTTTTCTGACGGCACACGTTTCGAATCCTTTTCTCCCCAAGGTGGAGCAAACTAAAGTAGTTTTACAATTCTAAAGCTGCAGTTAGCTGTACTGGTTGTAGGAGTACTGATCTTTCTGTAATACACATCGAGTAGCTATTTTTGCTGCACTGATTTATGTATTTTAAAAACCCTTGTTAACTGGAAGTTTAAATTTAAATTAATTCACTTTTGGGCATTAACTTTTTTTGGCACCGGGGATCTCACTCAGGACTTCTTGCTTGCCAAACCCCTGAGCTACATCTCCAGCCCTAGTTTTTTTATTAGCACTTTATATTTGGGAAAATAAAATTTTCAGGTGTTTTTACCCCCCAGGGACAGGTAAAAGTCATCTCTTCAAATTTTGTTCTCTTTTTTGCTTTTAAAAGTTTAACTTCTTGGCCAGGTGAGATGGTTCACAGCTGTAACCCCAGAGGCTGAGGCAGGAGGATCACTGTGAGTTCGAGACCAGCCTGGGCTACATAGTGAGTTCCAGGTCAGTCTCAACTACATAGTGAGACCCTGCCTCAAAAAAACAAAAACAAGAGTTTAACTTCTTTGAGACTAAATCATTTGAGTGTATAAAAGACCAGAAAGGCAAAATAGAAAACAGAAGCAGTAAACTTACTGCTCAGTGAACACTGCTATTTCCGTTTTAGTATATTTAGCCTAATTTGGTTTTCTGGATTTGCTTTCTCCAGAGCACACCGCTTCCACAACTTTTCCATAGTCCCTCACACTGTGACTTTCCTGTGTTGTTTAGTATGTTATAAATATTTTCTCACATAAGTTAACATTCTTCCACAAAATTATGTCTGGGGGCCGGGGATGTAGCTCAGTGGTGCCACCACCTGCCTTGCAAGCACAGGGTCATGAGTTCGATCCCCAGTATCCCCCAAAAAAATATATATATAATGAATGTTTCACAGTGTGTAAACTTTAATTAATCTGTATTAAATATTTCCTATTTCATTGCTATTTTAAGTAAGTGGGCCAAAATTATACTTAAGTCTACTTAAATCTGGTAATTTCTATTTTTTCAAAACCTTTTTGAGGGGTAGGGCATGTATAGTACTCTGGGTTTGAGTTCTAGCACTGACAAAAAGCCAAGATTTTGATATTTTTGTCTGCTTGAGAAATATGCAAGTTATACTCCCTGTTTGGTCACAGATTGTTTTTTCCCTTTAAAATGGAGGGTCATGTTATCTTGGCCAGGTTGGCCCCACGCTCCTGGGCTCTAGTGATCCTCCTGCCTCAGCCTTCCAAGCAGTTGGGACTCTAAGGCACATGCTTAACTCACAGATATACTTGTAAGACAACAGAAGTCTTACCACCAGTCAAGTCTTTCATCGTAGCTTCTTGGGGCACATGTGTAGGGATTTTTTTTTTCCCCTAAGAGATGGCAATTTGCAATCAAACTGAGAACATAAACAAGGACTTGTGGTTTTGCTGCTAGGAAGCTTTCTATCCACAGCACACGCCTTCCATCTGCTCGGTGCAAAGCAAAGCGTGTCTCTCGTGCTCCTCCCTGCGTCTGTGCTCGCTCTGTCAGGACTCCTGGGTCTATTCTGCTTTAAGTGCTACCCTGAATCAACGAGCTGAGTTTTGCTCAGCATTTCCATCTGGTATCGCAGTGATTTCTCTGTCCATACGGCCCCCCCTAGGCTGTAGACTCTAACTACCTGAGGCTGCAGACCTCCGTCAAATTCACAGTTGCACCCATTACCCTCCTCCACGTACTAAGTGCACTCCTGTATGTTACCTGGATGCATAAAACATCTTGTTTCTTTGTGTGTGTGTGTGTGTGTGTGTGTGTGTGTACCAGGGATAGAACTCAGGTCCTTGCGCTTTTGAGGAGGGTGGTGGAACCACTGAGCTCAATCCCCAGCCAAACATCTTGTTTCTTTATGGGTTGGTTTTTTGTTTTTGTTTTTTAATTTGGTGCTTTTCTTTTCCTTCTGTTTGAGAAAAGGTATCTTGATTCAGTTCAGCCTGAACTACATAGCAAGACACCATCTTATACACACAAAATAAATATGTACATATACAGATGTTTAAGTATAATAATACATTATTTTTATCTGTATCATCTATAGGCATTAAGAATTATACTTCTGGTTAGTAGCCGGGCCTGGTGGCGCATGCCTGTAATCCCAGCACTCGAGAGGCTGAGGCAGGAGGATCGCTGTGAGTTTGAGACCAGCCTGGGCTACTTAGTGAGTTCCAGGTCAGTCTCAACTACATAGTGAGACCCTGTCTCAAAAAACAAAACCAAAAAAAATGTTATCAAGCCAGTTTTGTGTTTTGCATCATTAAATTCAAGAAATAAATACTATGTGTTCCAATAATGCATAATTGTCATTTTGTAAAAACTGTCAATTCTAAGATTCATTATTAGAAGTATTTCAATATGGAAAACACTATCTGATAACAGGGTCAATAGGAAGTTTGTTCTTCATTTTTCAAGACGGGCTCTCTTATATAGCCCAGGCGGGCCTCAAACTAGCAGCAATCCTCTTGCCTCAGCCTCCCAAGTGACGAACCACTGGCATGCGCCACCACGCCCAGCTGATTTAGGTGATTTAGCCAACTTCAGGCAGACTCAGTAAACTTAAATTACAGCCCTTGTTTCAAATACTTATTAGCCTGTCTAGACTATTAGGTTCCATTCACATTTAAAATCCAGCTCAAATTCTGAAGGTTTAAATAGCTCTATACACACACTGAATACTGTGTTCTTTCTTGCCCCTACTGAGAGCCAGGAAAGTATTTAGAGTTGAGTTTAAAACTGGAGTTCAGAGTTGGAAAATAGCAATAATTTTTAGAACCTATTTACTGTTCAGTGTGTGTATGCAATAATATCTGGCTTCTGTTTCTAAAGTGAATTATCAGAACTTGAAATAAAAGCCTTATTAAAGCTAATGCAATATATCTGATCTCTTTATTGCTCAACTATTAGCATTATTCTTCCTCATATTTAGGGGTTAGATTTTTCAGCTAAAATAAGATGGGTGCAATATTAGAACAGACTTAAAGAAGGCAGGGCAAGATGGTAGGCAGGTTAAATGGGGATCTAAGTCATGATTTTTATTTTGCAAGGAAACTGGATAATAGAAAATGCATTTTTATAATAAAAATGCATCTGTGAATAAATATATTAAATAAAACCTTTCTATAGTTTCACTCTGCTCTAACTCATACACAACCCCCCTGGTTCACTGTGTAGGTAACATTATTTTAATGACACCGCTGCAGTCTGTATTGAACAGTGTAACTTCACACGCACAGATCATTGTCCATTTGCTCTTTAGTTCCAGAAACCCCAAAAAGGCAGCATTAGAAGAATACTTCATTTTTGAGATAAAGAATTTATGGCCCAGAATGTTTTTATATATCATATTCATAAATACATGTACAATTCCCTCTGTTACTCAATATGTTATTCAAAATGTGCAAAATCTACTACCTGGCTTTGGAGACGTTTATAGCAACTGTCCAGCAGAGCCTTAGACCAGGAAATGCATTGCGGGTACTTCCATCACAGGCTTAGCTGGGGGACTCCTGAACCCTCCCATACCTTACAGAAAAGGCAATGAGTCTTCTGTATACCACTCCCAGGAGTGTGACGGTGAGTAGCACTATTCCACACACAAGGCCGAACGCCCATCGAGGCCCCAGGTAAGTGTACACATGGCTGATGAACACAGGCCCCAGAATCCGTGCCCCACTACCGGAAGCTGTTAACCAGCCCATGTAGATGCCCTGTGCAGGGAAGGACAAGACAAGCAGACAAATGCTCAGGTTTCATTACTTTAAAACAATGCTATTACCAAAGTGGTACACTCATCACTGTCTCTACCTTATACTTTTAAAATGAAACGTCCCTAAAAATCCAGCCAGTAATAAAATAATAAACTTAAAATTCCCTACTGAAGTCAGCTTAAGCAAAATAAAAGGAGTATAAAGGGACAACCTTTCTCCCATTTTTGGTGATTTAACTCAGGTCTCATGCATGCTCAGCAAGTGCCCTACCGCTGAACTAAAACTTCAGCCATAATGGAAACAATATACCTTATTTTTTATTTATTATTTTTTGGTACCGGATATCGAACTTGGGGCCCTTGCACTTATGAGGCAGTTGGCAGAACCACTGAGCCAAATCCACAGCCCAATATACCTTATTAATACAACTTCTGAAGTTAACATTTATTTTGTACCCCTTGCATGCTGGACACTGAAGTGGGTGCTTTACATATGTTGTTCTAATGTTCCTAAGTTTCTATGTCTAACAAATGTAGAAGATGAAACTCAGAAAGGTTGGATAACTCGTGCAGCAGACTTCAAGCTGCCACCACTACAACTAGTATTCAAAACCATGTCCCTTCAGTCTACCCAGAGTATTTAGTGTAGCATTATTTTTTGTTGTTGTTTTGTATAGTCCAGGGTGGTCCTGTACTCACTACAGTACGTAGCTCAGGTTGGCCTCAAAGTCATGGCAATCCTGCCTCAGCCTCGAGTGCTGGAATTACAGGCGTGTCTGCACCACCAAACTCAGCATGTTACACTACTTTTAATAGCCCCAAACTGAAAACAAACTGTCCATGTTGGGTTGAGTGATAAATTATAGCATATTTAAAAACTGGAAATTTAAGCAGCTATTTAAAAATATAAGGGTAAGATCCAAGAATGATATACACACAAACATGGAAAGAAGTTATATTCATTGAAAAGATGCAGAAAAAATTAGATGTACATGCAATTTAATGTTTTATTTTTCTGAAGTGTAAATGTGGAGATGTTTGAATAGGCACGTTTGAAAAGGTCCTGAAAGGTACAAATGAAGCTAATAGCAGTTGACCTGGGTGTGGTGAAGCTATGGGGACTCTTCTGTTATATACATTTCTAAGTTATTTGACTTTTGTTACAATCATCAGGATTGCTTTTATAGTTAATATTATTTCTTTTTCTGGACAAGGTATCTCGAGTGATCTTCCTGCCTCAGCTTCCGAAGTACATGGTACTAGAGATGTGCCATTGTGTCCCCTAATTCTTTTATTCTTAATTTTGAAAAATTAAAAATACAATCTTCAAAGTGAAAATTATACCCAGAGCTTGGTCTATAACTCAATGACAGAGCATATGTGTAACATACACAAGACCCTAGGTTCTATCCCCAGCACCAAAGAGAAAACAAACCCAAACCAAATCCAGAAATTGTTACCAAAATGCTTACCTAGTTATAGCTTGAAAATACAGGTACTAAATTTTTTCTTTCTTATTTCAATAGAGGAATACTAATTTCTGCTCTGAATATGTAAAGTCATCAGTTTAACTTTTTAAGAATGCTACAGTCGGGCGTGATGGTACAGACCTGTAACCCTAGCACTCAGGAGGCTGAGGGAGAATTATTGTGAGTCTGAGGCCAGCTTAGGTGGCACAGTGACATGTATCAAAGAATAAACAAAAGTACTACAAATATATTTCATATAACTGGAATGTCAGGTAGCTGGCTCACCTGAGGTTCTGGTCCTAGAATTTTTGAATAGAGCGTATAGGACATAACATTGCAGGCTGAATAGCCCATTCCAATTAACACCGCTGATGTGAAGAACTGTGCCATGTGGATCACTGGGGTGTAGAGGCACCAGGCTTGCTCAATTGGGCAACCAGTTGGTAGTTTGTTGTGATCCTCTCTTGATGACTTCCAAAGACCAATCATGATTTCCCCAAAAGTGGTATTAGGGATTGAATTATTATGTAAATCTGTAAAAACAAAGTAAGTATAATGCATGACTTGCTAATTTTAAATAAATAGCCAGGTGATATCACAGAATTATGTATTTCTATACCTTTCCACTGTATTTTGGGAAACTGATTTCCCCAAGGTAGTAAGATAAAGAAGCCAGCCCAGACAACGAGGAGGCCTCCCAGCAGAAGAGCACGTTCACCGACCCTGTCAGGGAACGAGACTGATTTTAAAATGAAACATTGTTACACAGTCCCATTACTTCTATACTTCAAAAAAATGTACAATTTTAATACTTTTACTGAGATGTATCAATTGATATGAGCTAAATATAATTTACAACAAGGCTTTTCTGGAAAATGTCTGATTTCAGGTCTGGCACGGAAGATCCAGAAGATGAACTTAGAAATCTTTTGAGAACAGCAAGCACTGACACTATGAGTGATGATCAGCGCTCCAGAAAAGGGTGCAGGGCCAGCGTGAAGGAGGAGGCCGAAAACTCAACAGTGTGATGCCAAAAGTAAAAATGGCAGTGGGCTGAAACTCGAAAGGGTGCTAGGGAACCAACTCGTGTTGTCACTCATCTGTGGGGAACTGGTTACAGGACAAACCTGAGGACTACTCAAATCTCTTATATAAAATGACATGTACTTGCATATAACCAATGCGCCTCTTCCTCTCTACACATCTAGCTAATAATATCTAACAAAACGTAAAACTGTGTAAATGGCTGCTATACCATATTGTTTAGGAAATAATGACAAGAAAAAGAAGTCCATGTTTAGTATGGACACCTTCTTTTTCCAGAATATTTTTTATCTAACGTTGCTTGAATCATGCACGTGGTACCTGCAGATTGGGGAGGCCTAATTATCAGCATTTGGCAAGAATCAATTAATGGATCTACAGACTACTCGATGACTGTTTACATCAAAAGAAGACATTGTTCTGATATGAGTACATAGCACTATCTATATTCTTCCAAAAAACAACTTAAATCTCATTCAGCTAAGTCTAGATACAGTTATCAGTTTTCAAGGAACATAGAAGACAGGAATATGCTAAACACTACAGTGATGGAATCAGCAAGGTTCGAACTGGAAAACTATAATGCAGAAAACTGCAGACATACTGGTTTCAACTTGTAAGGGAGGGGAAGGGGGAAGAGGGAGGAGGAAGGGGG